CTGCTATCTTCTGCCGTCTTCAGGGATATTAATCGTTGTCGTGGTTTAGTATAGTCTATATAATCACTTAATGTAATCATTAATTAATTATGTTTCTTATTATTTATAGATACTAAAATTAGCTTATATCGTTTTGGCTGCTAATCTGTTAACTAGCCTTTTTAACACGAATATTCTGAATCAAATCTTGGCCCCTGGAACTACATAGCTGTCTTGTGTTAAACTTATCCACTGTGTTGTGTGTTTTTTTTAAATAAAGATTGTTTTAATTGTGCCTGTTTCAAGTTTGTTCTAGTATATTTCTTTATATAAGCTTAGTCAGAGCAGTCGAAAAAAGAACAGGTTAGTTCATGGCTTTGTTTGAATACGATTCAATATTCCCAGTCCAAGAAAGAACATCACTCTCAGGTTAGTTCATGGTTATGTTTGAATAAAATTCAAGATTTCCAGTTCAAGAAAGAACACCATTCTCAGGTTACTTCATGGTTATGTTTGAATAACATTCAAGATCTCAAATCCAAGAAAGAACATCACTTTCAGATTAGTTAACGGTTATGTTTGAATAAAATTCAAGATTTCCAGTCCAAGAAAGAACATCGCTCTCAAATTAGTTCATGGTTACGTTTGAGTAAGAGTCAATATTTCCAGTCCAAGAAAGAACATCATTCTCACGTTAGTTCATAGTTATGTTTAAATAAAATACAAGATCTCAAATACAAAAAAACAGAAAACATCCTTAAAACAACGAGGTATTGTAATGGCATTTAGCTAAACTAAACAATATTGAGAAGAACAGTAAACGTTGTTTAATGATTACACATTTCTGATAATTTTGTCTTTTAACGTAACTATCCTGAACGACTTAATGAATTTTAAAATTCAGCAAGACAAAGTAATTATACAGCGATATGGACAAATGTGACTAGAAGACAATTATTAGCATTAAACATACTGTTTGGATCATATCTGTATCAATCTGCAATCCTTGTTTTAAGAAATGTAGTTAATTACGAAGTAGCTAAAGTTTCCACAGCCACCTAAACTTGGCTATTAACTAATCACTGACGATATCTTGGCTATAAATTCATTATCTAAAATGTCTATCATCTACAGAATTTATGTTTATATAACTTATTGTTGCGTCAGCGAGGTCACGTGACTAGTGTCACGCCACGTTTCTAGAACTATCTTGTTCCTTCGTGAATGCCCTAGCATTTACTAGATATATGTTTGTCTGGTATATACATAAGAC